AGGCCCACCCAAGCTGTTGCCACTTGCTTAACCATAAGATTGGCCTGTCTTGGATCCTGCTTCAGGTTTTTCCTAAATTCTTTCAAACGAGCAGCATCTGGTCTCAGCTAGCCCCATACCGCTCATTAATTAATACACAGAAACAAACACAGGGAGGCAGCCAAAATGAGGAGACAAAGAAACAGGTCCCAAATGAAAGAACAGAACAAAACCCCAGGAAAAGAACTAAGTGAAATGGAGATAAGCAACCTAACAGATGCTGAGTTCAAAATACTGCTTATAAGGACGCTCAATGAACTCAGTGAGAACCTCAGTGAACTCAGTGAGGGCCTCAAGAGCATAAAAAAGGACCAATCAGAAATGATCGATGCACAGTTAGAAACGAAGGAGACTTTAACTGAAATAAAAAATAATTTACAAAGATTCAATAGTAGAGTACGTAAATCCAAGAAGCAAACCATTGATTTGGAATATAAGAAAGCAAAAAACGCCCAATCAGAACAGCAAAAAGAAAAAGGAACCCAAAAAAATGAGGATAGTGTAAGGAGCCTCTGGGACAACTTCAAGCGTGCCAACATTCGCATCTTGGGGGTGCCAGAAGGAGAAGAGAGAGAATAAGAAACTGAAAACCTGTTTGAAACAATAATGGCAGAAAACTTTCCTAACTTGGTGAAGGAAACAGACATACAAGTCCAGGAAGCACAGAGAGTCCCCAACAAGATGAACCCCAAGAGGCCCACACCAAGACACATCATCATCAAAATGCAAAAGGTTCAAGACAAAGAGAGAATCTTAAAAGCTGCAAGAGAAAGGCTAGTTACCTACAAGGGAGTTCGCATAAGGCTGTCAGCTGATTTCTCAAAAGAAACTTTGCAGGCCAGAAGGGAGTGGCAAGAAATATTCAGACTGATGAAAAGCAAGAACCTACAACCAAGATTACTCTATCCTGCAAAGCTGTCATTTAGAATCGATGGACATATAAAGACTTTCCCAGACAAGAAAAAGTTAAAGGAGTTCATTACCACCAAACCGTTATTATATGAAATGATGAAGGGTCTTTTTGAAGAAAAAGATAAAATATGAACAAACAAAATGGCAATGAATACATATCTATCAACAATGGAATCTACAAACAAAATGAACAGGAAGAACAGAAACATTCTCATAGATACAGAGAACATTTTGTTGGTTGCCAGATGGGAGGGGGGTTGGGGGAATGGGTGAAAAGGGTGAAGGGATTAAGAAGTACGAATTCATTGCTAGACTGACAAACCTCAAAAGGAAAGGGGTTGGGGGGGTGGGAAGAAATAAACCAAAGAACTTATATGCATAACCAATGGACACGGACAATAGTGTGGGAAAAGGTGGGAGGGGGGCGGGAGTGGGGAGGAGGGGGTCAATGGGGGAAAAATGTGAAACATCTGTAATACATTCTATATTCAACAATAAAGATTTTTAAAAAAAAGTGGTAGAAAGGTGATTTTGAAGGTGAAGGTGGGAAGGGCTAGCTCTCTACCACAGGATATTCTTTAGCAGATCTTGAGAAAGAGCACATACAGAAGCTGAAGATCTGTACAGTGATCCCCTTAACTATACATGCCACAGGTCTTGTCTTCATGAAGCCCAGGGTTATTTGAATGCCAATTAAGCTGACTACTCTAATGAAGCATGTTCTCTCATTTCCAAGCCTTTGCCAATCTATTCCACAGAGCAAGAACTCTCTTCCCCACTCCCACCCCTACAAGCACCACTTTTAACACTCTACTTTGTCCCTTTGGCCTCAGCTCACATGCTACTTCCTGGGATGCTTCCTCTGATGCTCTAGGTGAGGATGGATCCCCTGCTATAACTTCCATAGCTCTCCTTCTCATATTGTGACGTTCATTACACTGTGTCACCAATGCCTGTTGACTTTCTTGTTTGGAGATGACAAGGACTGGGGTCAGTGATGTTCACTACTCTATCCCCATACCAGCAAAGTGCCTACCTAGTACATAGTAGGTATACAAGAAATTCCTGGTGAAAGACACATGAAGAAACATGGAGTCTTTTGTGAAAGTGACCAGCCTAGAAAGTATGCAGGCAACAATTCTCTCCCTTTGTAAAAAATGTCCTGGGGCTCTTGGCTCCCGACTGAAGGTTACTTCTATCTCAGAAGCACTTGGCTTTACTCCCCAACATATTTGGTGATAACTATTCAATTCTGTGGCAGCACATTTTAACCATCCTGGCTTCCTTTAGGACCGGGATCAATCAGCCCAACTGTTGAATTAATTCCACCATGGTGGTCTGGGACAAGGCAGAAACATGCTTGGTGGTCAGAATAGTATCCAAGAAAAGAAGGCACACCAGCCTGGCCAGTGTGGCTCAGGGGACTGAGTGTCATCCCATGGACTGAGAGGTCCCTGTTCAGTTACTGGTCAAGGCATATGCCCAGGTTGCAGGCTCAATCCCTGGTGCAGAAGGCAGCGATCAATGTTTCTCTCTCTCTCATTTCTTCTCTCTAAAAAATTCGATTAAAAAAATCATATTTAAAAGAAGGCACATCACACCAGTCAGGGCCACAGGAGAGAACACCAGAAAGAGAGTATAATATTGGTTTTCTATTTTTCTATAACAGACCTTATAAAAGCAAATGACTCTTTAAATATAAGCATGAATAATTTTTTAAAAAATTTTTTCTTTATTGATTTTAGAGAGAGGAAGGGAGAGGGAGAGAGAGATAGAGACATCGATGAGAGAGAACATCAGTTGGCCAACTCCTGCATGCCCTCCACTGAGGATTTGACCCACATCCTGGACATGTGCCCTGACCAGGAATTGAACTGGAGACTTCTTGGTGCATGGGTTGATGCTCAACCACTGAGCCACACTGGCCTGGCCTAAGCATGAATAATTTTTAAATAAAAATTAATTTTTAAAACTTTCCTACTATATTTCCCTTAAAGTTCAGGAGGGGAAGAAATCAGCAGATAAAAACTAATGTGATTAGCCCTGGCCAGTTTGGCTCAGTGGTTAGAGTGCCGAAACACGGACAGGAGAGTCCCGAACCACGGACCGGAGAGTCCCGGGTTTGGTTCTCACTAAGGGCATGTACCTTGGTTGCAGTTTGTCCTGGGCCCTGGTTGGGGTTGTGTGGGTGGCAACCACTTGATGTGTCTCTCTCACGTCGATGTTTCTCTCCCACGTCGATGTTTCTCTCTCTCTTCCTCCCTCTCTCCCTCCCGCTCTATCTGAAGATACATGCAAAAAGGTCTTTGGGTGAGAATAAAAAAAAAAAACTTATGTGATTAAACAGCTATGTTAATATTAGACATCTTATCTTGCCTATAACTAGATAGTGCCCTAAGGATAAATCTATATCAGTTCCATAGTTTTATAAACCTCTGTGATATTAGTATATAACTAAGCAACTGTAGATATTCAAAATAATTTTTCTTTACAGAGCAGATAGTGTTATATTGTCAATATATAACAATATCTGAATTATAACAGGAATTATAGATTCCATATAATCATGATTGAACTTATTCTTTAATACATCATTCACAGAATAATTCAAATCTTAGGGAAGCTGTTTTTTGTTTGTTTGTCTTGTTTTGTTTTGTTTTTTACGCTATACCTCCAAATCCCCACTCCTGCCAAAAAAATTTTTTTAATCAGAAAGGTCTTTTTTTTTTTTTTTATCCTCACCCGAGGACATCTTTCCACTTTTTGTACAGATAGAATGGGAGGGAGAGAGAGGAAGGGAGAGAGAGTGAGAAACATCGACGTGAAGGGACACATCGAGTGGCCGCCACCCGCACGACCAACCAGGGCCGGGGACAAACCGCAACCGAGGTACATGCCCTTAGCGGGAACCGAACCCGGGTCTCTCCGGACCACAGGCCGACGCTCTAACCGCTGAGCCAAACTGGCCAGGGCCGCAATATTCTTTCTATTCACAAATTAACTGATTCAATATCTATAAATATCACCAAAGGAAAGTAAAAAAAATTTCAGCTTTATTGAGATATAAATGACAAATAAAAGTGTAAAAATGTTTAAATATATAATGCAATGATTTGATACACATTATAAAAGGATTCCCACCACTCAATTAATATACCCATCACCTCTCACATAGAAAGGTAAAATGTAGTAAGTGAAGCATCTTCTGTCATGACTTCAAAATACTTTCTCAATAATAACAAAATTCTATTTGTCTCTCCTTCTAAAACAAATAATGCTTCATTAAGTAATGACAATATGATTAAAATTTTTATTTGAACAATGTCTTCAGAAATATCCCATACCATCTCCCTATAATATCTATGTGCATCAAAAATATAACAGTGTTTAAGTGGCATGGCAAAATGAATAAAAATATTAGTTTAAATAAAACATAACATATTCTTCTAAAAGAATATAGACCAAAAAAAAATATTTTTTTTTTGTATATCCCCCTAGTGGAAACCGAACCCAGGACTCTCTGGTCCTCAGGCTGACACTCCAACCACTGAACCAAACCGGCCAGGGCTAGACCAAAATATTAACACTGATTATCTCTGAGTTCAGGGAATACAGGTGAGTAATCATTCTCTTTGTTACCTTTTTTCCTTTCTGCCTAGCAACCCAACTTTCCTACAATGTACATATGAAAAGAATTTAAAAGGACATAATGAAAAACAACTTTCCTATAATGAACTCATAACACACCTTGGCAGAGGTGCTCCTAAAAGTCCCTTGAAAGTCAATGACAAAAGCTAGGGAAATAAGACTTTAAAACAAATGAAAAGCATAAACTTAAATAGGAGAAAAAAGGAGAAATATGGTAAACCATATTTTCTTTTAATAAATATGGCTGAGAAATATACCTAAAATCATTCTGCATCGTCTTAATTATCACAAAGAAGGAACTTTCAGAAACACTTGTACTATACTTTGCATTACTATCAATCATGTTCAATATTATTTTCTAAAATGCATTTTATGAATCTCATGAAATTCTTAGCACTTACTGCTGTAAGGCCTTCATTATTACAAATGTTGACATCAGCACTGTATTCTAATAATTTACTCATGCATTTCTTCTGCCTGAAAAGAAAGAGAGACAGTCACAAATAATTGATACTATAAAAATAAATAACAATTACTTTGCTGAAATATTAACTACATTCAACATTAGTTGGCGGTAAGTATCAATATGTAAATAAACACTATAACACTTGAAATAACATACAAAAGTGTTCTATGACTCAAAAATAATAGATAAAAAAAGCACAATAAGATTTTCATGTCATTTGGACAAATTCATCATTCAAAATGCTAAGGAATTTCTAGTGTTGACTGAATGTTTGAAATAATCTTACAATATAACGTAAGTCTAATGGAAGGAGAATGAATATAGCAAAAAGATGTCTCAATGTTGTATCCTACATTCCTGATTGCAAAATATCTAAAAGTTAATACTAAGATGAATTATAAAAACAAGCACAAATAAAATGCATTATGCATTCCCATGCTCACTTCATTTTTTTTTTTTAATTACTTTTACTATAGTAAAATACACACAACATAAAATTTAGCATCTTACCCATTTTTAAGTGTACAGGTCAGTGGTATTAAGTATATTCATACTGTGCAACCATCATCACCATCTATCTCAAGAACTCTTTTCACCTTGTAAAACTGACACCCATTCAATAATAACTCTCCATTCCCTCTCCCCCAGCCCCTCACAGTCACCATGCCCCTTTCTGTCTCTACAATCTGGGCTTATTTAAGCATCTCATAAAAATGGAATCACAGAGTCTTTTTGTGTCTGGCCTAATTTCACTCTGCATAATGTCCTCAAGACTTATCCATGTTTTAGCAAATGTCAGAATTCCTTCCTTTTTAAGGCTGAATAATATTCCAGTGTGCGTGTATATCACATTTTGCTTATCTGTTCATCTTTCAATGGATACGTAGGTTGCTTTCATTTCAGCTATCATAAATAGCTATGAACATGGGTATGGAAATATTTCTTCACGACCCAGCTTTCAATTTTATTGGGTACACACCCAGAAGTGGGATTGTTGGATCATATGGTAATCCTATTTTTAATTTTTTGAGGAACCACCAAACTGTTTTTCAGAACACCTATAGCATTTACATTCCCACCAACAATGCACAAGAGTTCCAATTTCTCCAAATCCTCACCAACACTTGTTATTTTGTTTTGTTTTGTTTTGTTTTGTTTAAGATAACCATACTAATGAGCGTGAGTTAAAATCTCATTATGGTTTTGATTTGCATTTCCCTAATGATTAGTGATATTGAGTACCTTTTCATGTGCTTGGTGGCCATGTGTTTATCTTCTTTGGAGAAATGCCTACTCAAGTCCTTTGCCACCTTTCGAACTACCTACCCATTTTATTTGGCTCACAATGTTTCCTGTTAGCCTGATCCATTACTAGTCATTACTCAATATATATTATTGAAAATTCATGCTTTGGAAACAAAGTGATACACACATGCCTGCGTGCAGGCGCACGTGTGTGTGTGTGTGTAATATCCATTTTATTTATATGCTTTAAGAAAATATAATATAATCCACAGCATAAAAGTTTATCATCTAGTTGAGTAAATAATGATAAACTTAAAAATACATAAATGTTATGTGTAACAGTATATTATGTGTAGTATGTTATATAATATAGTATGCATATTATGTATATATAGTACTAATATGAGTATAGTATCTACATATATAGTATAAGATATGTAGAGTATTTAGTACATACAGTATATATGTGATTTTATCACTATTTACTCAGTTAGATCATAAATTTCTTCATGCCATGGATTATATCACATTTCTTTAATCAACTCAGTACTAAGCATAGCTAGGTATTCTCAATAAAACTTCATTATTAATTATTAATCTTATAAGTCAATAGCTAAAAACTTTATTGGCTGACTAAATCTTTTAGAAGAAAAGAATGAATTACTTTTCTTGCTTTAATTTTTGTGTTTGGAATAAAATTAAATGTCATTTAAAATTAGCATTACAATCAAAGAAAGAATAATAAAGCTCTGAGTAAATATACAAGTTTAAACATTTACAAAATTCCTTCAACTAATACATTGTTATGAAAACCTTCACAAATAAATCTTCAATAATCCTAAAACAACAGACCAGAGAGTCCTGTCTGGTATCTCAGTCCAACAGAATTTTAAAAATGAATATTGTTTAAAATATGTATGCATGTGTATGTTTGCATGTTGTGTGTACCCATACTGCTGAATTTAAAAAACCTATTCACAAGCCTGTCCTGGACTACTAACCTATTGCCAAAATAAACACTTAGATGGAAATGGACTAGTGAAACAGTCCCAAAGAAGTGTTTAGGGTAGAGCTCATTGAAGAAAAATAGCAATTCATGTTTCTCTTCTCAAAAATGAACTGCAAAAGGTACAAAGCAATATGAGAGAAATATATGCCCTTTTTTTTACTTAATCATTATTGCTACTAACCAGAACCTGAAATAGGTCAAAACAACTCACTAAGTGAGCACCTATTTTGCTAAAAATTGAAGCTAAAATATTAACTAATACATGGGCTCTGCCCTTTATGAGCTCATAATCTAGAAAAACAGAAAAAGAAAAAATCATGTTTCAAATCTGACCAATCTGATACCTAAGGATAGAGAATAATTTTGAAGTTTTCCCTTTTAACATTCTCATACAATTGTGAGCAACACTGGATCCTCCAGTTCAGGAAGCAACTATTTTCCAGCCCCAATACTGTAACACTTATAGGAAGCTTATGGTAAGTCAAATGACAGGGACCTGTCATCCAAGTGCTCAATGGCAGCCTAATCAGTCTTCTACTGGAAAGGAGGGCAATTCAGCACAAATGCATCCAGCACTAATGACTAAAGAGAAATGCTAAATAACGCAGGCTACCTGGCAATGACAGCTAAGGAAACAAAACTAAAACTAACCCTAAAAAACAGAGAGACCAGCAAAAGGGGCATGGCACAATTCCCCTATGACTTATGCTTCAGTCTATACAAATCCGAACTCATAAAGAAATTGAAATAAAAAGCCATTTCTGAAAACATAAGCAGCTACAGAAAGTAACAAGTACTCAAGTTGCTTAGCAAACATTAATTGAGCACCTGTAAGTTGTGCAAGGCACCTATTCAATAAATCATAAAAACAAAATAGTTAAGTATTGAAAAACATCCAAATCATGTTATATTAGGGTTATGAACTCTTCTTATTCCTTTTTCACTAATTTGCCATGTGAATCACGCAATCTCTCTCATATTTCTTCATCTTTAAAATGTAATGGTCTCCAACTTAAATGTTCTCACTGCCCCAAAAAGAAAGATAAATATGTGAGTTGTGAAGTGATGGTGATGAATGTGTTAATTAACTAGATGGGAGGAATCCTTTCACAGTGTGTAGATATATCAAATCATTTCAATGGATACCTTAAGTATCTTACTATTTTATTTGTCCATTCTACCTCACCAAAGATGGGGGGGTGGGAGGAGTAACAGTCTCCTAAATGACTAAGTCTTCCTAGTACAATGGCAGTGAACACTTTAGCCCTGCTTTGCACCAATCTGTCCTGTCATTTACAGTTGTTGAGACAGAGTACTGAGATATTTTTTTATATGTAACGTTTTCAAAGAACTTTGTCACTATCGTACCAGCACCAGGGATAAGGTATCTAAATCTTTAATACAGCAAGAAAATAAATAATTTACTCTATGTTTGAGTGTGACACCCTACAACATAATAATGCGGCCACATGTTATAAAAACAATTGTTTAATCAGCAAGCTGTTACCTAAACTAGTTCATGTACTAAAGTAGAAAACAAGGAAGACCTGATGGTCAAATGACTATGCCCTTCCCAGTCCAACCAAGACATCACTAAGGTTCTTGTCTTTTTGGTTTCCCTTTAATCCTTGTATGCAAAAATTTGTCTCAAATTGATATAGTAGACAGTTTTAGCCCCATATACCTACCTAGAATCCCAGTTCAAAAGAGAAAACAAAAATATTTTCAAAAGTAATAAAAAAAAAGAGACACATAGCCCTGGCCAGTTTGGCTCTGTGGTTAGAGCGTTGGCCTGCGGTCCAGAGAGATCCAGGTTCGGTTCCCGCTAAGGGCACATACCTGGGTTGCAGTTTGTCCCCGACCCCAGCTGGGGTGGTGTGGGTGGCAACCACTCGATGTGTCTCTCTCACATCAATGTTTCTCTCTCTCTCTTCCTCCCTCTCCATCTGAAGATAAATGCAAAAATGTCCTCAGGTTCGGATAAAAAAATAAAAGAGAGACACATAGAAATATACAGTCATGAAGAAGTTTTATAGTATTAGAAAAATGTTTATAAGGTCCTCAAACTCAGAATCAAAAACTACTTATTTTAATTTTGAACATAATTCCAAACATTTTTGTCTGGTATCTCAGTCCAACAGAATTTTAAAAAGTTAAAAAACAGTGGTAGAGGCAGACACAGAGATGTGATATCTAAAGTTTTTGACAAAAAAGGAGAAGGAAACCAATAAAAAGTATAGTAGAATTTAAAAACAGCACACAATAACATAATGATGTTCATCATGATGACCAGAGTTATCAGGAAAAGGCAAAAATAAATTCACATTTTGGAAATACTACTTTCATAATGGGAAAAATTTGATTTCATAAAAAAAATTAAAGGAGAGCTAGCAAGCAATTATTTATTCAGGAGACATTTTGTCATAACTAAAATGAAAAGCACTTTTGGCACTGAAAGGAGTAATCAACCTTTATCAAGAAAGCTTACCCTAGTTCTCTCAAATAATTACTATAAGTAAATTAGATATAATAATATTTATTCTGGCCCTGGCCAGGTAGCTTAGTTGGTTAGATCACTGACCCAACATGCCAAAGCTTTGGGTTCAATCCCCGGTCCAGGCACAGAGGAAAAACAACCAATATAATAAATGCATAAATAAGTGGAACAACAAATTGCTGTTTTTTTATTTCTCTCCCTTTCTCGCCCCTTTCCCCACCCTTCCCCCTTCCTCTTTCACTCTAAATTCAATGAATAATAATAATATTGACTCTGTATTTAATTCCATAAATACAATTAACTAAATAAGCAATTTGGAAAATGCACCATGGAATAAAACATGGCAAAAGAGTAGCAGGATTAAAGAACACCAAAACAAAAAACAGTGAAAAGTATGCTTTTCAGAAAATAAAATGTCACTATAATACAAGTAAAAATGAACTTCAACAAATATATTTTCAAGAAGAAAAATATCAGTAAACAATTTCATAAATTATTAAATATAAGTTATTTGAAAATTGAGTATAATGACCCAAGACCCTCTTACCAAGACCAATATTGGGGGTGGGGGGGTTAAATCAAGGTAGAGTGCCTTGAATACTGATAATACAACTTAACCTACTTAAGGAAACAAAATATTTACCCATTTCTAGCTGCCAAATGAAGTGGTGTACAGCCTGAAATATCCTGATAGTTAGGATTTGCTCCTTTCTTTAATAGCAGAACCAAGCACTCCACAGATCCACAACTAAAACAATATTAGAAACAGATCAGATACATTCAACAAACAGCCACAGTGACATAGTTTAATTAGAGAACAAAAAGCTCTATTAAACACATTATTTTTGAGGTCCACATTAACCTAAAATTTCATTTCAGTCACAAATAATAAATATTCTCTACTTTAAAATATAGGGTGGGGCAAAAGTAGGTTTACAGTTGTTCATATGGAAAATAATACAATAATTATTAAATAATAACACAAGAATAAACTGTTTCACATACAACTGTATACCTACTTTTGCCCACCCCTGTATAAAGCCAATGACCATATGCAGTTAGCATATAAAATCTCATATTGGTTGGATAAAAGAAAAATTTCGATAAATGAATCCTCTTAAGTACACCTAGGAAAGACAATCCCCGTGCCTAGCCTACTCTGATCTGATCTAGAACAAGCTAAGACTTGAGTCCAATCCCAAGGTTAAAAATGTATTTAGATAAGAATGTAAGCATAGCACTTTATGCCCTAACATATAAAGAACCACTAAGCTGTCTGTTCTCATTTCTCTTCATAACTACTGTGGGCCAACACTGATTCAAAGCCAGCATTACTACTGATCATTACTCTAGACCAGAGTTTAATCTAAAAGATCTTTAACCTTACTTTGCTGCAATGTGAAGCAAGCTTCTTTTCACACGTCCAAAGGCATAATTAACATCAAACTTTGAATTTGATAGTAGTTCAGAAACAGACCTATGCAAAAGAATATTAAAAGAGTTCATATGTTAAAAAATAGTTTTAGGGTGGGAGGAGGGGGGGTCAATGGGGGACAAAAGGAGGGGGATGTCTGTAATACATTTTTTTTTTAATATTCACCCAAGGACATTTTTGCATTTATCTTCAGATAGAGCGGGAGGGAGAGAGGGAGGAAGAGAGAGAGAGAGAAACAGTGACATAAGAGACACATCAACTGGCTGCCACCCACACGGTTGGGGTCGGGGACAAACTGCAACTGAGGTACATGCCCTTAGCAGGAACTAAACCCAGGTCTCTCTGGTCCATGGGCCGACGTGCTCTAACTTCTGAGCCAAACTGGCCAGGTCAATACTTTCAACAATAAAGATAAAAAATATAAATAAATTTTTTTAATTAAATTAAATTTTAAAAAATAGTTTAAAAAAATAAACAGCTAAAGTTCATAGCTCTTTAGTTACTCTTACCAATTATTTAAAAGATCTGTCCCGAATAAACAAAAAAAAAACACGGGCACTGTTCTTTAAGCATAGCAAGACAGCCAACAAAGTATCACCCAAACACCAGCTGCTCTGACCTATAAACAAACCACTACTGAAGATTTCCTCATCTGTGCTCTGTGTGACCTGCTCTGAAGACATCTAAGTAGCCACCAGCTCTTAGATTCTTTTTCTTAACTTATCTTTATTGTTAAAAGTATTTAACAATAAAGTATTTATTGTAAAAGTATCTTTATTGTTAAAAGTATTACAGATGCCCCCCCTTTCCCCCATTGGCCCCCTCCCCCCTCTCCCCCACCCCTAAATTCTTGAGAGACAAAAAGAGTAGGGCTGGCTGCTCCCCTTGCAGAAAGCTGAGCCCATCTTTATTAATTTTGACCAAATAAGAAACATCAGACAAAAACATGATTTAATTATATCAGAGAGGAAGTTTAAAGCAAAAAACTTGTTTCAAAATATAATCTCTCTTCACTTTCTTATTACACCAAACTACCCAATGGCTAACCACAGCAGAGCTATCTGCTACAAGTGTGAATACCTCATCCCACAGTCAGATAATTGTGAACTGTATCTCAGATGACCAACCAAATACCTGACTTAATATCTGACTCTTCATTTAGAAAATCTCTTACCATAGGGTCTTAGAAAATCTTGTTTCTTAATTCACAGACAGAAAATTATAACAGGTTAAATAACTTACCCCAGGACAACATCTATGTCCAAACTGCCTGTGTGAGCGTGTGTGTGCGCGTATGTGTACACTACATTTGAATAAATTTATGCTTCTCAAAAGGTATAAATTTGTGAAATAGGGACTCACCTGTGTTGATCAGCCATAACCATTGGCATTAATGTATAAACAGCAGTTTCATTATCTGAGTAAAAAAAAAAAAAAAACAGAAAAGAATTCATTTATCTCTTTATCTAAAGGGTGATACTTAAGACTATTAAAGTTTTCTTAACTCCACATAAAAAGTGAAAAGAGGTGAAAGAAAGTTAAGAATAGTGCAGAGTATCAGAGGTATTGCAAAATTTTCAATAATGCAGAATTTCTTATCTCCTCTAATGCTCATCCCCTCCACATCACCATAAAACTGATAGCTTCTAGATCTGAGGGAAAATTAGAGCCCTAATATTTTCTGTAGCTTTAACATTAAAATTTCCTTTAGTTCAAAGACGTGTTTATCGATTTCACGTATTATAATACTTATATGTACTTGGGGAAATTTATAAGTATATATGGATATTAAAGCTATATATGCTAAATAACTTTAAAAACATTAAATATACACAGTATTTGCTTCTTGCCAATATTATAACAAAAGGAAACATTTTAGAAGCTTTTATGAAACAGCATTAAAGTCTTACTTTTTTTTTTCTTTTTCTTTTTTTTTTTTAATCCTCACCTGAGGACATTTTTTCCATATTTTGTTCAGACAGAGTCGGAGGGAGGGAAAGAGAGAAACATCGATGTGAAAGGGACACATCGAGTGTTTGCCACCCGCATAACCCAACCAGGGCCGGGGACAAAATGCAACCAAGGTACATGCCCTCAGCGGGAACCGAACCCGGGTCTCTCTGGACCGCAGGCTGACGCTCTAACCATTGAGCAAAACCGGCCAGGGCTTAAAGTCTTACTTTTACTTATTACTTTTATCTATTCTTCACTTATACTTTTTATATAGTTCACACAAACATGATCCAAAAGAAAAGGTTATAAGGCAACAACATCTATGATGCAATATTATACTTATGTAAGTTTCAGCTAGTGTTTGAATTTAGTTTCATTTATTACTATTGGTCACTTCTCAGTTCAATGCATTTTAAAGGTTTATGTTTTTTAATAAGTTATTTACCAAGAAGTAACCCTGACAACTCCCATTTAGCCCTTAAAAAATTAATACCAGCCCTGGCCGGTTTGGCTCAGCGGTTGGAGCGTTGGCCTGCGGTACAGAGAGACCTGGGTTCGGTTCCCGCTAAGGGCATGTACCTCGGTTGCAGTTTGTCCCCGGCCCTGGTTGGTCGTACGGGTGGCAGCCACTCGATGTGTCCCTTCACATCGATGTTTCTCTCTCTCTCTCTCTCTCTCTCTCTCTCTCTCTCTCTCTCCCCCTTCCTCCCTCCCTCCCTCCCGCCCGCTCTATCTGAACAAAAAATGGAAAAATGTCCTCGGGTGAGGATAAAAAAAAAAAAAATTTAATACCAAAACTAACATTAATAAGTTCAAGTTTGAGGAGAAAGAGAACAGCTTTATAGTATCAAAGTATCTCCCTCAAATAGTGATTAATTACAGAGGAAAAGCATAAATTTCCAGTGGAGAACCCAGCAGATATCACCTAATCAGGTGATAAAGGGTAGTAGATCACCAAAAATAATACATATTGATATCATATAACCCTTGATATGATCCACTGAGAAGGGCTACATCACTTTTGTAATATTCTTGTCAAAAATACATTAACTTAATCATGAGGAAACACTAAACAAACCCAAATTTAAAGGAATTCCACAAAACATCTAAAGAGTACTGTTGAAAAGTCTCAAGGCCAATAAAGACAAGGCAAGATTGAGGAATTACCAGTTCGGGGAGGCTAAGGAAACATGACAACTAAATGTAATATGGTATCCTGGGTTGAATCCTAAAATAGAAAAAGGATATTAGCGGGAAATCTTTTGAAAATTCTAGTAAAGTTTGTAATGTAATTAACAGTATTATACCAATGTTAATTCCTTAGTTTTGATATCTGTACTATGGTTGTAAAAGTTGTGAACATTGGGGGAAGTTAGGTTAAGGGTTTATGGGAATGCCACACTATTTATGCAACTTTTCTGTAAGTCTAAACTTAGTTAAAAATAAACAAGTTTAAAAACATGAAAAAGGAGCCCGGCCGGTTTGGCTCAGTGGTTGAGCATCAACCCATGCACCAAGAGGTCACCAGTCAGACTCCCAGTCAGGGCACATGCCCAGGTTGTGGGCCGGATCCCCAGTGGGGGGCATGCAGGAGGCGACCAATCGTTGTTCTCTCTCATTGATGTCTTTATCTCTCTCCCTCTCCCTTCCTCTCTCTCTAAAATCAATAAAAATAAAAAATATTTTTTTAAACGAAAAAGGAGGGAAATTGTTATCATTAATAGAAACTTAAAAGATGAATCAACCAAATGTAATGTATGGACTTTGTCTGGATAATGACTCAAACAAATAAACTGTTAAAAGAGTATTTTTGACAAGGGAAAACTAATTATGAACTGGGTATTTGATGATGATAAAAAGTCATTGTTGCCCTACCGGTGTGGCTCAGTAGATTTTGAGCATCATCCCATGGACTGAGAAGTCCTGGTCTAGTATCTCTGTCAGAGCACAACCCTGGTTTCAGGCTCCATCCCCAGTAGGGGGCGTGCACATAGCTGTTTTCTCTCTCTCCCCCTTACTCTTTGTCAAAAAAAAAAATCAATAAAACAGTTTTTTTAATTATTGTTAATTGTGTTAGTTCTAATAATGGTATTTCAATCATGTTTAAAAAAAATATATGTGTGTGTATATATATGTATATATATATTTAGGAACATATACTGAAGTATTTAGAGGAGAAGCGGAAGTTACTATTTTTTCACATTTTTGTTCACTGTTTTTACTATTTGGGAGTATATACATGGAAAGAAATTCACTCCTAATCAACACTCACAAGTTCAGTATGCAGATACAACTCTTTCACTACAAAAATAAAATAACAATGGATCCTATTAATTAACCGCCAATATGTTTTAAATGATCTTAAAGGCACTGCTCTAAACCCTTTACATGGATTGTTCCTTTTATCCCCACAACCACCTCAGGATATAGGTACTATTATTATTCCCATTTTACAAATGAGAAAACTGAAGCACTGACGTAAAGTAACAAGCTGGGTGATTGTGGCATTATTAAGTGACTAGAATTCAAACCTGGCTGATTCCAAAGTCCCCATAATAATGTATACACTATAGATAATAACCAAAGTTCTAAACTACAAAACTTATTTTTCATATGTGTAATACACTGTAATCTGTTTTATTTTTTTATTTTTTTTTTATCCTCACCCGAGGACATTTTTCCATTTTTTGCACAGATAGAGTGGGAGGGAGAGAGAGGAAGAGAGAGGGAGAGAGAAACATCGATGTGAAAGAGACACACCGAGTGGCTGCCACTCGCACGACCAACCAGGGCCAGGGACAAACTGCAACCGAGGTACATGCCCTTAGTGGGAACCGAACCCAGGTCTCTCCGGACCGCAGGCCGACGCTCTAACCGCTGAGCCAAACCGGCCAGGGCTGTAATCTGTTTTATTCTCTTCTACTTAATTTTTTGTTTTACTGGTGACTGCAACTACTAAATTGTTGTCACTACCAGTGAATCACCACTACATGTTAAAAAACACTGCACTAAGCCTCCCTGGGCATGGTAACATTATTTTTCTTGATTTTTTAAAATCAAGGTGGGGAGGGAAAGGGGGAGAGGGAGGAGGAGGGGAGGGGGAAGAGAAACATCAATTTGAGAGAGACACAGCAACTGGTTGCCTGCCTCTGGCAAGACCCTGACTGGGGCCGGGGACTGAACCTGCAACCCAGGTACGTGCCCTGGACTGGGAGTCGAACACGAGACCCTTCAGTCTGTGGGCCAAAACTAACCCCAGAGCCAAACTGGCCAGGGCTGTGAGTTTTTGTGTTTGTTTATTGCTTTCAGTTTTATATCTCATATATGAGTGAGATAAAAACGGTTCTTGACTTTTTCTTATTTCACATAGCATGATATTCTCAAGATCCATCCATGTTGTCTCAAATGGTAATATTTCATCTTTTCTTGTGTCTGAGTAGTATTCCATTGTATATATGTACATCTTTAATCCAATCATCTATCCAGGGACACTTCGGTTGTTCCCATGTCTTGGTCACCGTGAATAATGCTGCAACAAACATAGGGGTGCATATATCTTTGTGAATAAATGTTTTCAAAATTTTCAGGTAGATACCCATAAGAGGGGTTGCTGGGTCATATTCTATGGTAACTCTATTCTTAATTTTTGGAGGAACCTCCATACTGTTTTCCATATTGGCTGCATCGGTTTACATTCCTACCAGCAGTGAATGATGATTTCTTTTTCTCCACAATCTCTCCAACACTTGTTACTTGTCTTGTTGGTAACAGCCATTCTAACATATGTGAGGTGGTATCTCAATGAAATTTTTATTTGCATTTCCCTAACAGCTAGTTATACAAGGCATCTTTTCATACTTGGATTGGTCATTTGTAATGTCTTCTTGGCAGAAGTGTCTGTTCAGGTCCTCTGCCCTTTTTTTTTTTAATCCTCACCTGAGGACATTTTTGCATTTATCTTCAGATAGAGAGGGAGGGAGAAAAGGAGGAAGAGAGAGAAAAACATCGAGGGGATAGAGACACACTGAGTGGTTGCCATCCACACAACCCCAACCAGGACTGGTGGAAAAACCGCAACTGAGGTATGTGCCCTTAGCGGGAACCAAACCCAGGCCTCTCCAATCCGTGGGCTGATGCTCTAACCACTGAGCAAAGCTGGCCAGGGCCTCTGCCCATTTTTTATTTGTATGGTTTTGTTTTTCTTTTTCTTTTTCTTTTTTTTTTTGGTGTTGAGTTGTGTGATTTCTTTATATATTGGATACTAACCCCTTATGGGAGTTGGTGTTTGTAAATATCTCTCCCATTCAGTCAGCTGCCTTTTGGTTTGTTGACTGTACAGAAGCTTTTTAGTTTGATATAGTACCATTCATTAATTTTTGCTTTTACTAACATTCTTTATAGCTCATGTAACACAAACCCATATAAAAATCTGAACTTCTAAACCATGACAATTTCAATTAAGTAACTCCATAATCAACAAAGTCATGAACAGGAAATACCCTTATTTGTGAACTTAAACTTATAAATCTATATAGCACATAATTTTGAGTGAGCATAAGTAAGCATCATAAGGTTCACATGGGTTTTACTTATAGAATGTTTATTTACATTAAATTTAGATGTAGATCTTACTTATTAAGTCAAATCTAACCTTATAAAAATATAGCTCACATATATTAAAAGGTACAAAGAAACAAATATAACCAACACTAAGGTGCTAGAAAGAGACTATCCAGTAAATACTATACTAAGAACAGAATATAACTTGTCAAGAGTTGTCCTCTCTACTCTCATAAAAACACTTTGAGTAGTAGATATATAAAGTTTCAGTGATAAAAAAGTTTACTCTCTCACTTTAAAAGATATGTTGACCATTTTTATTGATAAAGTTCCAGAACTCAACAACTAAAAAGAAAACCTTAAAAAACAGGGAGCTCAGATTCATTGTGCTATATATATGCAATTTCTCCTCAAACCATCAAATGGGAGTGTTTTTTTTTTTTTAAATTGATAATTATTCTACTCTTCACTCAAATATATGCTAAAATAGGCTCAAATTCTATTACTTTATTATACAAGCTACATTCACTGTAATGCAAGTAGTTTAAGACTTTTCCCACAGAAGTGAACAGTAAAAACCAACTTTCTAAAGTCCACTGAGAACCAGTATCCCTAAAGTAATTTCTTTCCCTTGGCTTCCTCTCTCACAATAATATTCCTATGGCCCTGGCCAGTTTGGCTCAGCGGTTAGAGCATTGGCCTGCGGTCCCAAGAGCCCGGGGTTCGGTTCCCACTAAGGGCGCGTACCTTGGTTGCAGTTTGTCCCTGGTTGGTCATGCGGGTGGCAGCCACTTGATGTGTCCCTTTCACGTTGATGTTTCTCTCTCTCCCTCTGTTCCTCTCCCTCCCTCCCACTCTACCTCAACAAAAAATGGAAAACTGTCCTCAGTTAAGGATTAAAAAAAAAAAAGAATATTCCTATGTCAGCCCTGCCAAGGATGACTCAATAATATCCACTCCTCCCATTACTTAGTGGCAATACTTGGAGGTTTTCATCATCACAAGAAAATATAAATATGTCCTCTCAGTATTCAATTCAGTAAATCAAATATCTGCAGTTTAATCTTATGCAACAATTTTACAGTAAAAACTGATTAAAAACTTTCCAACCTGAAGAGTGTGTTCAAGTTAGATGCTTATTAACGAATTCTGGCAAAGCAAAATAAGTATCTTACTAGTTCCTAAATTTAGAGATCTTAAAAGTTCTGTTCTTTAAAATGCAAACACAACAATCTGGATTTTTATAATGAGAATATCACACAGGCATGCGCGCGCGCACACACACACACACACACACACAAACACTTGAAAAAGCCAATCTCAAAGAATTAAAAAAGATTCATCAGAATTTAGAGAGAAAAATAAATTAAAGGAACAAGATGAGCACAAATTCATTTTAATCAAAGAAAAACAAATGTAAGCAAGATGTCACTTTTGCCTAACAATATGGGAAAAAGTTTTATTTTTAGTTACTCTAGTTTCCAGGGCCTCTCAGATTACTGGTAGAACCTTCGAAAGGGTAAGTAGAGGTGGATAGTCACAATTTTTTAAATGTTGATAAAATTAGACCTATAATTCTTCTTTTACCTATTAATTCTAAGGAAGTATTTATAGAGACAAAGATTTTAAAAAGTACTGAGCTGCACCTCATAAAATCTATCATAAAGACAAAAATTAGATTCTATATTGATTACATATATCCTGTGAAATCCTACAGTCATTATGCATATTTAAAGATACAAAAAAGTGGTATGTTTTCTAAAAGTAAAATAAAAGACTATGTATGCAGTGTGATCTTAATTTGGTAAAGAAAGAAATAATAATGGAAGAAAATACTGACATTGTTTATTACTGGGTGATAGACTAACAGAATTTTTTATTTTTCTTTCTTTTCAAAATTTTCTACAATAAAAAAATATTCCTACTTTTAAAACCAGGAAATATTAATCAAATGCTAAGTCACATTTATATTAAAAACTTTGGGGATTTAAACAAGGCCATACAAATTACTGTCAATCTACACATGCAATCTTTTTCATCAACCTATAACAGTAATATGACTGGAAATGAGTGATAAGGAATGAACTCAAAGGTGAAAGTTGGAAAGAAAACAGAGGAAGAAAAAGTTGAAGCTGCAATTCTAGTAACTTAAATCAGGATTATTTTCAGTCATCTACTTCATACTAGAAAAGTATCAAGTACAAAAATTATTGAAAAACAGTGACCACAAAGCATCTGTATTCTGAATCAGAAGTAGAGACTTGAGAAAATTTTTTCAAGAAAATTATCCCCCAAATATCCAGACCCACATTTCTTTGATGACTCCCTCTGAAGGTCTCCTTCGCTACAAATCACCTCTCCAGAAGCAATTCGAATAAAGTTTTGAAAAAAGTGAAATTACATATAATGCACTAAAAAAAATAAAATCATCAACCATAACCCCCTAACCCTTCCTGCACTTGGACCCAAGAAACGAAAGCCTCTGGGAGGCTGACTGCCATTTCCTACTGCCAACTAAAACGCCTGAACTCATGAGGCTGCAAACAAAACGGCTTTCTTTCTCCTCTTTTATGACTAGTATTTCACCTGTCCTGCAGGAACCCCGGCACAATGAACTAAAATTCCTAAACGGCAGGGCTCACGCCTTACTCCCCTGCAGAAGCTCCCCAGCCCCCACCTAAGTCTGACGTATAAAGAATGAAGGCAGGCAGGCATATTAACGAAAAGTGTAAATATCTATACACGCAGTATGCTAAGCGTAAGTAAGTGAGATATCTGACACTTTCTCATTTATCCGCCGTCCAAATACGAGAGGGCTCTACACTTTCAAAGAGAAGAGACAGACGGCTTAACCCCCCTCTGCAGCCCAAAGAAAACACTGTTTGGGGAGCATCTCTATCCCAGCAGCAGCGACGGTAAATGACCCGCAACAGGAATGTTTCCGGATCTGGTCCGCCATCGGGCCGAAGACGGCTGTCTCTCCTGCTTCCTCCACCAGCAGGACCCGCACGGCCCCGGCCCTCCCGGCAAACTCCCACCTGCCCGGACCGGGGCGGAGGTGGTCGGGGGCCCGGCCTCTCCCAGCTCGGGAAAGTAAACGTGGGCATTTTGTCAGCTTTCGGTGAGCTTTCCTCCCGACTCCTCCAGGGCCCGGGCTCCGCGCCCGCCCCGGCCGCCCGCGCTCGCAGCCGCGCGGCCCCGCTCACCGTCGGGCAGCTCCACGGTGCGAGCGCGGCGTAGCGAGCGGGTCAGGCGGTTGAGCTGCTCCATCGCTCTCTCCATCCTCGGCGCGCCCTCCGCGCTCCTCCACCGCTCCCGCGGCCCCCGCTCTCGGCGCCCTACATTCCGCCCCGACCTGTCCCGCGTGCAGAGGCGCTGGCTCGCCCCGGCCGGCGCCCGGGGCTGCAAAGACCGCTCGGTGCCGCGTACCCCGTCCGGATCTCGGGGGCTGCGGGGCAGACCACCGAGGGAGCACCCGCCACCGCCGCCTCTCGCGCTCTTCCGGCCGCCGCGGCCCTTCCCTCCTGGGCTCGCACGGCCTTCTGGGAACCGTAGTTCCGAGCCGGCCGAGCCGGGCCACTCGGGCGGAGCCACGCCGGGTGCGCGGGTGACTCCTCACTCTGGCCGCGCAGAAGCTGGAGGGGGCAGTGTGTGCGGGAAGCCGTGCCAAGCCGGGGCGTACTCCGAAGTTCCTGGAGAGCCTTTCTGGGTGTCGCCATGCCCGCTGCTCTGGTTCTCCAAAGTGGTATGGAAGCCGCTTCCTTGATCTTACATTCCATCCCGCTTCTGTATAGCGGACCCGGGATTTGCACAGTTCTTAAAATAAAAACTATCATCCCGAATTTGGTACATTTGTTTTTCAGATATATGAACGTTGCAATATTATACTATTTTCATATGTCAAATCTAAAGAAGGATAAAGTCAAACAAATGCAAAAATAGGGTACACATTTTTCTTCATTGCAAGTGAATTAACCATACCGTATTTGACTCTCCTGCTAGGTGACTTCATAAGGGTAGGACCCCACCCTGTCTTGTCTTGTGCCTTGTATTCCTGTCCTTACCACAGCACCTGACACAAAGTTAACAACACTTGGGGGAAGATAGGGATGATGACTATTTTAGTTTATTTGGTACAATGCTGAAATGTCGATGTGATGACAGATCCCAGTGGGAAATCCGAAGACTGACTTTGTAAGTTGCAAAAAGTGTGACACTAAATTACCAACCAAGTGTGGAAGAAATGAATTTTAAGGAAACCAGTGGAGGGTGATCATATTTGTCAGCTCTACACAGAAGCTGAACATAAGCCAAGATAAAAACAAATTTGAGCAGCTGATACATGAAAGAATTAATCCATGCAGGAGAATATGAGCCTGGCTAACACCACTAACAATTAAATGATAAAGGGGAAATTTTCTCTTCTGGATATAACCATTGCCGACATGATGCCAGAGTAAGAGCGAAACAAAGAACTTGGACTTTCACAGCTTCTTCCTCAGAGAGGCCAAGTTTTTCCTGTAATGAATGGGCACAGGTATATTGTGATGTATGTTGGCTGGTCCAGAGGAAGAAAGCTAGTCTCACCTGCCTATCCAGGCTATGTAGGGACAGATGATGATGGCATGGGTGTTCCCTGCCAGTGCCATCCTAAATCAGTACCATCAGTCACTTGTGCCAGTGGTGCAACAGGCTCAGTGTAGACCTGCCAACCAGTTGGTTCAGTTGAGACCTAACCAACCAGTCTGGCAACAAGGTGGAGAGGTCAAAGCTTCCAAGAAATGTCAAATGATATGGGTGGATCTGCACCATGCCCAACCCTTTGCAACCTGGCTTTAACTAGAAATGCTCCAATCTTTCTAGGCCTCCTTATACTATTCAGAAAGTCAAGTTACCCACCGCTAGACAGAAGCTGGCACCTCAGTCTCTGTTATCACTACCACTCCTTAAGCTGTTGCATATATTCTTTCGATTCTTGTTTCAGGCTTCTTAGGGTATCGTCCTAGAAGTGGGACCACTGGGTCAAATGATACTCAATTTTTAATTTTTTGAGGTAACACCATAGTGTTTTTCATAGTGGCTGCACCAGTGTGCATTCCCACTAGCAGGGTACTAGAGTCCCCTTTTCTCCACACCCTCACCAACACTTGTTTGATGCTTTGTTGATGGCGGGCACTCTGACAGGTGTGAGGTGATACCTCATTGTTTCTAGAAATTTGTCCATTTCACTTAGACTGTCCAATTTGTTGCCGTATAATTATTCATAGTATATGTTAACGATCCTTTGTATTTCTGTGGTGTCATTATTACTTCTCCTCTTTCATTTCTGATTTAGTGTATTTGGGTTCTTTCTCTTTGTTTCTTGATGAGTCTAGTTAAGGGTCCATCAATCTTGTTTATCTTTTCAGAAAACCAGCTCTTTGTTTCATTGATCCTTTGAATTGTTTTTTTGGTCTCCATGTCATTTATTTCTTCTCTGATCTTTATTATTTCCTTCCTTCTACTTGCTCTAGAGTTTTCTTTTTGTTTGCTTTCTAGTTCTTTAAGTTGTGAGGTTAGATAGTCTATTAGAGATTTTTTTTGTTTCTTGAGGAAGGCCTGTAGTGCTATGAACTTCCCTCTCAGAACTGCTTTTACTGCATCCCCTAGATTTTGTGTCGTTGTATGTTCATTTTCATTGGTTTCCAGGATGTTTTTAATTTCTTCCTTGATCTCCATGGTAACCCATTCATTGTTCAATAACATACTACTTAGCCTCCATGTTTTCAAATGTCTTTGCATGTTTTTGTTGCAATTAATTTCTAGTTTCATGCCATTGTCATCTGAGAAGATGCCTGATATGATTTCAGTCTTCTTGAACTTATCGAGACTTAGTTTGTGCACTAATATGTTGTATATCTTTGACAATGTCCCATGTGCACTTGAGAAGAATGTGAATTTCTGCGGTTTTGGGGTATCTCTGTAGATATCTATTAAATCCATTTGAGCCGGTGCTTCATTTAGAGTCTCTGTTTCCTTGTCAATTTTTTGTCTAGAGGATCTACCAGTGATGTCAGCGGGGTGTTGAAGTCCCCTGCTATGACTGTATTGCTGTTGATTTCTCCTTTGAAGTCCTCTGGAAGATTTTTAGTATATTTTGGTGCTCCTGTATTGGATGCGTGAGTGTTTACCAACGTTATAACTTCCTGTTGTATAAATCCTCTCAATATTATGTAGTGGCCTTCTTTGTCTCTAGTTATGGCTTTCATTTTGAAATCTATTTTATCAGACACGAGTATTGCTACCCCAGCCTTTTTTTTTCCTTTCCATTTGCTTGTTAGATTTTTTTTCCATCCCTTGACTTTCAACCTATGTGAATCTTTTGTTGTGAGGTATATCTCTTGTAAACAACATACATATGAGTCATACTTTCTTATCCAATCAGCTACTCTGTGTCTTTTTATCTGAGCATTCAGTCCATTTACATATAAAGTGATTATTGATATGTACTTATTTATTGTCATTTTTTTTTAGTGTGGTTATATTTTTCTTTCTATTTCTTCTACTAATTACAGCAGTCCTTTTAACATTCCTTGTAGTACAGGTTTGGTGTTAATATATTCCCTTTGGCTTTTTTGTCTGGGAAGCTCTTTTATTTGACCTTCTAATTTGAATGATAGCCTTGCTGGGTAGAGTAGTCTTGGATTCAGATTCTTGTTTTTCATGACCTTCATTACTTCATGCCATTCCCTTCTGGCCTATAGTGTTTCTGTTGAGAAGTCAGATGATAGCCTTATGGGCATTCCTTTGTAGGTAACCATTGCTTATCTCTTGCTGTTTTTAGAATTCTCTCTTTGTCTTTCATTTTTGTCATTTTAATCACTATGTGTCTTGGTGTGGGCCTGTTTTGGTTCTTCTTACTGGGGCTCTCTGTGCTTCTTGAACTTGAATGCCTTCTTCCTTCACCAAGTTAGGGAAGTTTTCTGTCACTATTTCTTCAAATATATTCTCTAACTCTTGCTTATTTTCTTCTTCTTCGGGGACTCCTATGATGCAAATATTATTACGTTTCCAGTTGTCCCACAGTTCTCTTAAGCTGTCTTCCTGTTTTTTCATTGTTTTTCCTTTTGGTTTTCTGATTGGTTGATTTTTTCTCTCCTGTCTTCTAATTCACTGATGTGGTCCTCAGCTTCCTCTATTCTGCTGGTTAGTCTTTCCAATGTGTTCATTATTTCTGCTAAGTCGTTCTTCATTTCCACTTGGTTGCCTTTCAGTGTTTCTGTATCTTTACTCACGGTGTTGATGTCCTTACTCATGCTGTTGAGCTTCCTCAAGATCATGGCTCTGAACTCTACCTCTGATAACTTGCTTAACTGCATTTCATTTATCTCATCTTTGGTAGAGTTCTCTTGTTCTTTCATTTGGGATTTGTTTCTTTTTTCCACCATTTTGGCTATCTCAGTGGGTTTTGAAGCCTGCCAAATTTTCCCTGTGGGTGTTAGAGTTGTGCTGTTTGTGGCTCCCTCTACTGGGTTTGGATGAGTGTGTGAGGACCTACGTTAAACACCACTGTCAAGTCTTACTTTCCTGGGTATAGTTGCAAGCCCAGTTATTCTCTAGCTTTTTACCTTGAGGCTATTAGTCTCAGTTACTTGATGAGCCTTGGGTTGTAGCCCTCAGCTGCATGAAAAACTCCCTCAAGTGTTAGCGTAAGAGGATTTCCAGAGGGTGAGGTGGATGCTGGTTTTTAATGAGCCTCAATTTGCATTTATTTGGCCCAGCTGGGTGGGGCTGAATCTCTGAGGGAGAGGCTGCTGCTTCTCCTCAGAACACCAGGAAGGAGCAAGATAGCCACTGTCCTGTGTGGCCGAAACTCAGCAAAAACTCTGAGTGCCCTCCATATCCCGGGTGTCTCCACAGAGTTCCAGTCCAATCTGCCCTCCTTCTGCCGAAGCCCAAGGTGAGTGTCTGTAGCTAATTTAGTGCTCTGTTCTGGCTCTCTGTGCTGTGGATCCGGCTTGGGATTTTAACCCTGAGGGCACTGCCCACAGCTAAAGGGCTGCTGTCAGTGGGCTCCCAGCCTGCCGCCCTCTTGCGCCTCGGCAGACCTACCAGGCTCGATTCAATGTCCCTGGTCATATGGTCCTCCCCAGCTGCTTTTATGTTGTTTTTCCCCGACAATTTGTCTTTATTTTAGTTGTAATTCCATTTTGGTCCTGGGAGATTGTCTGTGTAGCTACCATTCACTCCACCGCCATTTTTTCTCTCGCAACTGGATTTTAAATGTCGATTTAAATGTAAATAACCAGAATTAAATAGCCATGTGCTCCTAGTAGCTACCACATTGGACAGGAAAAAATATCACATCAAGAAGGAAGCTGTCTAGGATGACAATAAAAAAGCCAAATACATGGTTCTTTATAGGTTATTTGCTAAAAAATTCTTTTTTTTCATCCTCACCCGAGGGCATTTTTCCATTT